GCCTGATCACCCCTAACTGTTCCCCCCCTGCCTGGATCACCCCTAACTGGTCCCCTGCCGGCCTGGTCACCTCCAATTCCCTCCCCTGCTGGCCTGGTCACCCACAACTGCCCTCCCCTGCCAGCCTGGTTGCCCCTAAATGCCCTCCCCTGCAGGCCTGGTCGCCCCTAACTGCCCTCCCCTGCCGGCCATTTTGTGCCCACATGGGAGCAGCCATCTTGTGAGAGGGCATGATGGTCAATTTGCGTATTACCTCTTTATTATATAGGATATGAAGTTCTTGGCAAACTAAGGTGATTGTAACCAAACACATACATTTTTATCATAGATAAGAACTTATTTACTCACCAATTGAGCCCTTTTCTCCTTCCCCATCAAAAAACAGATTTTAGGTTATAATTTTAAAACAACAAAATACCAGTCAACCTTAAATAAAACTTAAGTAAACGTGAAATTCTTTAAAAGTCCACTGTCTATGTTTCCAATGCTGCTATAATAAGCAACAGATTCTGTTATAAAAAACTAATAAGAGACTTACAGCTATATCAAATATCTCCTATAAAATATACCTTAGAATTAGTCATAGATTTTTTTTAATAACCTAACCTGTAACAGACAGTATTTCTAAATGACAACTTTCCAAGACTGTTTATAAGACATCTCCATAATAAATTCATAAATCTCTAGTAAATGAAATTCAAGCAATAAAAAATTGATATTTGTGCTGCTCTATTGGAAAAAATATATGAGAAACTTTACCCTAATTTCCTTAGAATATTTTATTTTGGTCATGTGTCATTTTCTAGTTAATTAGTAAATTATTCTTATATATACAAAGCACAAACGAACAAACAAACAAACATCACGAAGCCAGAGTTCCAAGTAATAAGAGAGCCAGATGACTGGAGTGTGCCTGCCAAGGAATAAGCCAATACTCACCTGTAGGGGGAGTAGAAGAAACAACAGGGGGAGTTGGAGAAGCGAAGCCATCAGCAAGGGCCTGGGCACCCCCAGAAGCTGCGTCTGGGACAGTGGAGGAAGGGACAGTAGCAGGAACAATAGGGACAGGGGCAGATGCAGAAGTAGCAGGAAGGGGAGGAGTACCAGCAGAGCCAGCAGGGGCTGAGGGGAAAGAGGAGTAAGAGGCAGCATTAATGAGGGAATCCCATTAGGCAGGACGAGTAAGGCATAAGAGGACTTAACGTTAGATATTCAGTGCTCAACACTAACCAAAGAATAGAAGAGGGCGTTAAAAAGCAAAATGAATAAAGCTTATGTTAAAGGATTATTAGATGTGCAGTAAATAATTCAAGACACAATTAAATGAATTCTTTAATTCATTAAGAAACAAGCATTCCTTTTTACCTGAAAGCCACTATTCTGTAAGAAAAATGTTCCCTTCATATTGTAATCTTTAGCATAATATTCTGTAAGTGATATACAACAACACTAAATACTAAGAAACAACAGCATTCCAGACTGAATTACCCAAATCAGAAAACAAACATATGTTCCAGACATAAATATCTTATCAGGTAAAAAACCATTCAGAAAAACACAAATCTCTCTTTTCCATGGTTTTTTAAAAGGTAGTATCTATTTGTTATTAAGATAAGTAAGTTAAAATAGTAAATTTATTATGTGATAGTCTATCCCTATGTCTTTTGAATTTTAACTTTGGTGTCCTCAGATTAAATAAGCACATTTTTCTGTTTCAGAGAAAAGAGGGTAGCATTTCAGAGACTATTCAATTCCAACACTCCACTAAATTTAACTGTCAAAATTACTGTGATATTTGCCCAACCCTTTGTTATAAATATGATTTCTCACACTGAGTCTCCTGTGTCCTAAGGCATGCACTGCCATCACACAGCTGGAATGAACATACAACACACCAAGGTGGGGCCTGAAACCACTAAGCACCCACAGAGCTTGCGGCACCGAAGACGTAAAACCAAAGTACAGAGAAGTGTGTGAGCATCAACTGGCAAATTACTTGGTTAAAAATAACAAAAGCACAATAAAGATTTCCCAACATTTATGGAGTCCAAAAGGAAATACAAATCGTGATTATGAAGAAAGCCCACTGTAATGAAATCAGAAACTGAATTTAAACTCAGAAAGGACAAGTGAAGATGAAGCACCATTCATGTTTTACCTGGAAAGACACTGGGAGGAGAGGGAGTAGGAACAGCGATGGGAACGCCTACACTCCCACTTCCACTGTTCTCCCGGCTGCTGCTCCGACTACTGGGGTGGCTTCCTCCACTACTCCCACTGCTGCTAAAGAAACGGGAGCCACCAAGACATGAGTATTTATATGCAGTGAGGGATCTCCAGCACTTCCCAGCATTTTCTGATGAATACAGTAACAATAAAAATAATTCAAGCCTTCTACTTCAAATATGAATTTCTTAATTAGTAGAGGAAAAAGCAGAGTTCAAGAAACTTGTTTTGACCACTGTTTAGTAAGCACATATTAAAGAAAAAAAATTTTATAAACATAAATAATAAATGAAGGGGCGCAAAACATAAAATAAGACTTTCTTTTACTCCAGTTTATTGCCTGTCTGAAGAAACTTCTGAACAGACTATTTGATTAATTTTATTTGTCATAGTATCTTGATATACTATCCCATATTAATGTTTTACTGCATGTAGTTTTTCATCTGTAAAGTTCCACCAAAAAACAACTTGAAATTTCCCATATCTGGTCTATATTTTTTAAGGTCAATTATAACTATTAATTTTGCAGAGAAGTTTATACTTTAATATGTCTACTCCCCACCCCTCCCCCCAACTTCCTGACTGCTCAAAGTTGCATCAGAACATGAGGAGAGAGAGGTGGAATTAGATGAGGTTTGGGAGAGCAGAGTGAGGAAAAGAACTTAGTGCTTGGAAAATGAGAGAGATTTAACTGAAGTGATCTGCACAAATAATGGTGCTGTGACCATCACATTCTGCACTGAGGTAGAGAAAATACCTGTAAGTTCGATTTCTTTGATTCACAGAAGCTGTCCTCACAGGGCTCTGCTGCGAGGGAGCCATATTACGGGTTGGGCTAGGTACGTAATCATTGGGTACCACTGGAGGACGCACTGGCTCCAGTGTGCGATAGGGGGAGTGCCGCCTACAAAAAGAAGAGCGGATGTATTGTGTGATCAGCAAGTTTCGGCACAATAAATTCAAAGAGTTGCCAGTAGTGAAATACAATTTGTACTGAGAGATAGAAAAATGTGCTTTTTACATAACCCAGGTACCATTTCAGTCTTTCCTTAAGTAAAATTTCTCCATCATTGTGATGAGTATTGTTATTTTTTAGTCTCCAACCTCATTTCCCTGTGCTAATGCAATTTTGTTCATTCATCCTCAGTGAGCACAAAGGTTCTCCCACCAGATAAGCCAATGTTTCACAGACTCTTCTTGGATGAGTTCAAATTATTTTAGTACCATGTCCAAGTCTCCCAACTGCATTGCATGAATGCACCAATTATCTTCCTCACCCCTCTCTCCCTAACCAAAGATACGCAAAGACAGGCTCCACAACCCCACATTGAAGATCAGTAGCAACTATAACCCTATATTTCCTTTTCTATACAGTGAGTACATAGAAATTACACTATATCCATACACTAAAACAAACAATTTAATCTCATCTCCTTCCATTCTCACCTCACTTCCTCCTCTAACTTTCACCTTGATCTCTCTACCTCTGACCCTCCCTCAGAGTTCAACATTTAAAAGGAAGGGGGGGAGGTAGAAAAAGGCCTAAGTCTTTCTACCTTATTTACTCTGAACTATAAAGTACAAAACAAATTGGATTCTATTAAAATATTACCCTTTTTTTTCCTTTATTGATTAAGGTATTACATATGTGTCTTAATTTCCTTTTAAAGGAAGAGAATGAAAAGAGTAAGAAAGGAAATACAGTTTCCAAATTATTTTTTGGTGTGTGTGTTAAGATTTAGATATATTTTTAATTTTTTATTTTTCAATCACAGTTTACATTCAATATTATTTTGTATTAGTTTCATGTGTTCAGAGTATGGTTTCCAAATTTTTTAAGACAATGATAAATTCTCAACTAACATTTTGTAGATGAGATTCTGATCTTTAAAAGAAAAAAATTGGGCCCGGCCGGCGTGGTTCAGTGGTTGAGCGTCAACCTATGAATCAGGAGGTCATGGTTCAATTCCCAGTCAGGGCTCATGCCTGGGTTGTGGGCTCGATCCCCAGTGAGGCATACAGGAGGCAGCCGATCAATGATTCTCTCTCATCATTGATGTTTCTATCTCTTTCTCCCTCTCCCTTCCTCTCTGAAATTATTTTTTTTTTAGTATAAAAAGTGGGATCTCAAGATGTGAAAATTAACTTTCTTTTCCTGAAATGATGTTGCTCACTTAACTTATGAATTCCTCAATTCTTGCCTCCAAAGCCCCCAAGTTTCCTTAAGTTCTGCTCTCTTGGGTTACTCACATCATGGTTCACCGATTTGGGATGAGATCACTTTGCAAGACCCCAGCCACTCCGCTACCCTCAAAATCTCCTTGCATAAATACATATGTACATTTATAACGAAAAATAAATAAGGGGCACTAGATGAGATATTGGGTTAAAGAGGGGGGGAAAGGAATGTCAGGACTTTGCACTTAAAATACTAAAAAGTTTAGGCATCTCTGAAACTGTGCATAAATATAAAAAACCATAATAGAAAACTGATTAATTTCCAAACATCTGATTTCCAGACAATTTTTCCCAGACAACAAAAACGTTCTGTTTCAAGCAAGAAAAAAAAACCTTTGCTGACTAAGAACTATACAGTGCAGGCAATGACAAAAACAAGGTAAAAAACAAGGGACAGAGGAACAAAATGTGGTGGCCAGGCAAAGACTGCAAGATGGCCAGGCTATGACCATCAACCGGTTTATGGTGCCCAGAGACTGGGGATCCTGCAGAATCCTTGTTAACACACAAGCAAAACAAGTATTGGTATATGAGTAAATCATCAAAATTTGAGAGCAACAGAAAATTTTATTTTACTAGTGACTACAGTGGGATACCTTGCTAATAATCTTGATTTAAAACCTAACAAAATCCATTAGGTACTATACATGATAGAACTGTACATGTTCACAGGAAAATAAAGCAAGCACTTCCTCTTGATTTGACTCTCTTTCCTCTGCAAAATTATACTCCACCATGTCGTCTACATTCTAGCCTGAGGAGTAAATCTTATTTGATCTACTAGATTCGTTCCTCTCTAATCTAAGCAGAATTTTTTTTTTTGTTTACCTAAATAAAATCCTATTCCTGGCTGGAATTCATCAGAATTTTTTTTTTTTTTTTTTTGTCTACCTAAATAAAATCCTATTTCTGGCTGGAATTGTTATTCTTTTGTTTCCCACTGTCCTAACTATAATTTCCAACATCATCCTTTTTTATATCCCAATTCATCTTTGTCTTCTGATTCACATTGCTTGATTATGATTTTCTGTGTGTTTTTGGTTTTCATTTGTTTTGTTTTGTTTCTGTTTTTTTGTGTGTGTGTGTGTTTTTGGGGTTTTTTTTGGTGAGGGGGCCCAAAACAAGATTGTCAATTAAAAATGTTTAAGCATATATCATAAAGACAATGGTTGTCAAAGCAATTTGTTTTTGTTTTATACATTTTTTTAAAAAATCCAATTCATGGTAGTGACTCTGAAAAATTGATAGATGACAAATATTACCCCCTTTTACAGATGAAAAAACAGAATTTACTAAGAGGCTGACGATATAAGACCACAGAGCAGGAGCAAGGCTGGATCATAATCTTGGTCATTGACTTCTGAGGTGTATTATGCCTACCTGATCACAAATCTCCACGATAAACCAAGTTTTTATACTGTGATGCTACAGAAGAAAAAAGTCAAGCTTTTCTATTAATTGAACATTTCTGCCAAAAGTCAAATCCAGAGCCCACTTCTGTAGGATCAAATTAAAGCTCAATATTCTCCTAACTTGAGAATATAGAATTTTATAATCTACATAGTGCTCTTCAGAGGAATAGTCTAAATAAGGATAGTCAACTATAATACAAAAGACTAAAACTTTTATGAAAATAAGAATTAGAGTGCAATTTATAATAACCCAGGAACTTTAGTTAGGATTTCATCTTAAATGTAAAATTCATTAGAAAAATAAATTCTAAAGAAAATCTTTTTAAAGTATTAAAATGTTTCTCAAGAAAAGGGAAAATTATTCACAAAAAGATAATGCTAGGAAGGAAAATGTTATCTTTTCAAATCTTCAAAAATAAATTAAATATATGTAGTGTTTAGTTTCCCACAACACTACCTGAAATCGTTTTGTTATTACTTAGTTACATACTCACCCAAGAGTCCCTTTCCCTGACAGAGGGGGGCTGGGAGGTTTCTGAGTTGGAGGTGTTGTACGTGGCAGCCCACCCATCTTCATATTCTGGGTACTCACCTAAAAAGTTTTGAGGAAAATTCAATTTGTATGCAGTGAAACAAAGTAGCATTTTGGGGAAATAATGTTATGCTATTTAACAAAGAAGGGGAAGGTTTAAACAGGGAAAAGAATTGGAGGCCATGCATTTCAATTGCAATTTCTACTCCACTATTATTCTACAGTTGTACTCAAAGGACTCTTCCTAATGTGAAATTTTCAAATGATTGTAAACTTGTATGCAAAGACTTTATTTGCCATTAGGCCATCACACCAACAGATCACTGGTTGGACCATTTGATACTACACTCAATTGAAATTAAATAGGATAACTATAAAAACTTCAGTTTTAATAAAGAATAAACTCAATCAGAAACAATGACACCCTTAAACAATTCCTTGTTTTTTAGATAGTAAGTATATCATACAAAACAAAATACGCTTCTCAAATAAAATATACAACTATAGTTTTGATCCAGTAACTAGAGAATGCAAAATAAAGTTCAATTGCATGATATACAGATAAAATTTTAGTTTTTTAATAGTGGATCAGCCTTACAATTCAGATTTCTTTCAGTTCTCTTATGAAGGAATCACCTACCTACACACTGCCAGAAGTTAAGGCATGTTCCTAAACATCTGAACTAGAAAGTTAGGGCTGAGATATCCCTTCAACTGTGAGCAGTACAGGGACCATAGGCAATGTCCTCGTTCCAGTGGGAATGAGACCCACTCAGGCCCAAAATGAAGATTAATTCAGTCACGGGAAAGATGTGAGCAACATAGTCCTGAATCAGAGCTGGGGCCTGACTCCTCACTAGCCTATCCCCAACTGAAAATGCAAGTGCAGAAAAGCTGGGTAAGATGGGAACAATAGATAACACAAAAGGAGTATGTCAGCACTTACACAGCCAGCCCCAGAAATCGGGATGTTTTAAGGAGCTGAGAAAAGTCATTCACAAATGTAATTCAAGTGCAATCTCAAATTGTTTGAGATTTTTAACAGTGTAATATTCACCATATAGGCTCATGCCTGACACTATCTTAAGCCCCTGGTATTTTTGATTGCTAAACACTTCAAAAGAGGATCTTAACTTTTCTAATAAGAATGTCTATAGTATTCAAATTACATGAGTAAAATGAAACTTCAAGACATTACACCGCTGGAATCAGAATACATTTAAATATGTAATTTCAAAAATAAACTTTAAGAAAATAAATCATAATTGTATACAGAGTACTGAGGCTATCAAAACTAAATGGAATTTTTTAAAATCCTAAAACACTACCTGTCATGTGAATAGGCAAGAAATAATAGAACAAAAAGCAAACTCTTCAAATGAATAGCCCAGTGAACAAGTTGTGTGTGATGATAAAACAATCTTTAATGACAAATGATACCTTTGAAATGTCAGTATTTTTAAAGTGAAGCATTTATCAGTAATCCTTTTGTTGTTGCTTTGAAACAATAGAAGACAAACTGGTTACCAAGTAAGAATAAAATAAAGATTAACTTATCCTTGTTCTCCCCATCATCAATAAGCAGAGGGTATACTAATCATATCTTAAAATGAAAATGCCAGAAGTTTTTTTAAAAAATCAATCCACATTTGGTGAAAATTTTAGAAGTAACATGACAAATAACTAATAGCTTTTAAAACTATAAATTTTAATTTATGGCAAGATTTTTTAAAAATAGTAACCAAAGTCCTTTAAGCTCAACCTTAAACAACACAGACCCCAAAGTTATTTTAAGTGATGAAGGAGAAGTCGGTGAACCAAATACTAAACTACAGCAATTTGCTATAAAGGAAGGAAAAGGAGCAGGGATAGAAAAAGAGTATAGGAAAATTTTATTCTATACATGGAATAGTTAAAATACATGAAATCAGCTTTCCAACTCTGATTTAAGTTTTTGGTATGTAAGGTGTTTTCATTTAAATTGCAGTATCTTCTTTAAGTCTTTTACTCCACCACCCAAAATATAAAATAAACAATATATAAATTAAAATCTGGTGGAAATTTCTATAAATAAAACTTGGTACATTTTATGATCTGTAGAATCATCATGTTTGTATTTGTTTGGATTATGAGGTTTAGATGAGTAACTTAAACCACTTAAGAAATCAGAGTCCCTACGGAATGTTGGAAAAATCTGTAATTTATACGTCACTGATCCTGTACTACCTTTACAATAAGCAAAAAGGGTTTTTCAATGTTTTGTGTTCAAAGGGTTTATAAATTAAACTCTACAACTTGTTTTCCTCAGTCGACTGAAGAAAAAACAACCCAAATTATAGATGAAAAGAACCTTTAAACACTATCAGAAGACCCTGATAGCCGCAGTAATCTTGAGGAAGAACACCACAGTTGGAGGGATCACAATATCAGCTATCAACTATATTACAAAGCCACTGTAATCAAAACAGCCTGGTACTGGCATAAGAACAGGCATATAGAACAATGAAACTGAACAGAGATCCCAGAATCTGATAAAGGAGGCAAGAGCATACAATGGAATAAAAACAGTCTCTCAACAAACGATTTTGGGAAAATTGGACAGGTACATGCAAAAATAATGAAACTAGACCAACTTACACCATATGCATGAATAAACTCAAAATGGATTAAAAAGTTTCTGCACAGCAAAAGAAACCATCCACAAAATGAAAAGGAAATCCACTGTATGGGAAAACATTTGCCAATGATACATCCAATAAGGGGTTTGTTTCCAAAATATATAAAGAACACATACAACTCAACAAAAGAAAGACAATCCAATTTAAAAATGGGCAAACGACTTAAATAGACACGCCTCCAAAGAGGACATACCGATGGCCAAGAGACATGAAAAAATGCTCGGCATTACTAATCACACAAACTAAAATGACAACAACACCTCACACCTGCCAGAATGGCTACCATCAGTAAATCAACAAACAACAAGTGCTGGCAAGGATGTGGGGAAAGGGAACCCTAGCACACTGCTGGTGGGAATGCAGATTGGTGTAGCCATTATAGAAAACAGTATGGTGTTTCCTAAAAAAATTAAATATGGAACCCCACTTTGACCCAGCAATCCCACTTCTAGGAATATATCCAAAGAATCTGGAAACACCAATCAGAAAGAATATATGCACCCTTCTGTTTAAAGCAGTGTTTTTTACAACAGTTAAGATCTGGAAACAGCCCAAGTACCCACCAATAGATGAGTGGATAAAACAGCTGTGGTACATTTACACAATGAAATACTATGCAGCTATAAAAAAGGATTTCTTACCCTTTGAGTCATCATGGATGGACCTGGAGATTTTTATGCTAAGGTGAAATAAGCTAGTCAGAGAAAGACAAGTTTCACATGATCTCACTTATATGTGGAATCTAATGAACAAAATAAACTAACCAACAAATAGGTCCAGAGACATGGAAGCATGGAACAGACTGACAGATCGCGGGGTGGAGGGGTGGGGGGATGGAGGCAGGGAGAGATTAACCAAAGAACTTCAGCCATGGATACAGACCATAATGTGGTGAAGGCCTGAGGTAGGGCAGGGGCTGGACGTAGGTGGGGAAAATGTGGGACATCTGTAATAACCTCAACAATAAAAATAAAATTTAAAACACACACCAGAATATGAGGTATAAAAAGTTTAAAATTCAACTTTTAAGCATGGAAGTCTCTTTTGAGTCAATTCCCATGTGTCTGATCCCAAAGTACTAACTTTCTTTAGAGTCTATCCCAAAGGCATCAAATCTGACAGCAATGAGAGCAAAACAGAGCGGAAGAAGAGCTGAGGAGAAATCAAAACAGCAGATACCACCACCAAATATCAGGAGACTTCCCTGGCACCTGATAAAATCCACAGGTCACCAACAAGCTCAGTTGGAAAACTATGGGACTAGTTAGTTATTTGTAGTCCCTTATAACTTCAACCTTTTTTCCTTTAATTCTATTCTCTACCTCAATATGTTCTATTATTCCATTAATCACCCTTCCAAAACCACTCATCTTTTTTTCCACCATAAAAAGAGAAATGATTTGCTATATGCTGAATTTATTTTTTCACTCTACTTTGTTTTGGTTCACCCAAAATTCTTAATGTGCCCCAAGTTGATACAGCAGACAGACATATTCAAAGAGGAATAGGAAGAAAGAAAAGACAGCATTGGTGCACTCTAGATCCTAGAGTAACCTCAGGGGACTCTTCTCACCCTGTCAACTCCACGCAGGTACAGTAGAAACAGCTACTGTACAGAGCCACTGTACTGGGGAGAGGAGCTATCTGGTGCAGCGATGTTACGGAATCTTATCCAAGTGTGATGTTTCCATATTAGATCTTTCTTGCAAGGAGTCTCTCATTTCCCACTCATTCTGCCCTATCTTCCACATGAAGATCCTGAATCCAGAAAGGTCAAGAAGAAATCATAGTAGGTTTGGAGGAAATGAGCATGGGATAGTAGCTTAGGCAAGCTGGTCTAAACTTTAAAGGAAAAGAATTGATCCATTTTGTTCATTTCTGTGTTTTTCCTTCAGTTATCTCTGTGTATTTCATTTATTTTGAAGATTAACATATCAATAGCCAAAATTTGAATACAGACTTTAGAGAGAAAGAGCCAAGGAAGCCACACACTATTTTGGGTCTGGCTCTTCCTGTTTGATGCAAAGGAAATCTCCTCACAATTCCACAAGCCTCATTCACCAAGCCTGAGAGCACAGAGCCAGCACTGATCAATAGCACCAGAAGTGGGTTTGCCTGGCTCCTCTAGTCGCATCTCCCTACCACAATCTATTGAAATTTCTGTGGCCACATGGTGCGTAGCTAATTAATAATTCAGATCTCAGTGATTTTGTCTTCTTGCTATTACTTTCTACATTGAAGACATGGCAAACAACTAGGTATTAGAAAGAATATGTATTTGAAAATAAATTATAAAATTCACCTAAGGAAAAAAAGAAGAAAAAAAAGAAAATGCAAGCTCAATTTGGTGAAATAATTTTAGTAACGTACTATTTGATAGGCTTCTTGTAACTAGAGTGTCTTTTACCATTAATTCTCCAAAATATTAAAATATTACTAAAACAAATAACCAAAGAAAATATTTCTAATTCTTAACTTGTATTTTGTTAAACACTATCATCCACTTTTGATGTTTTGCATATAATTAATCCTCAGCTTGAAAACCCAAAGTGATTTTATATTGAAGCATATATTTTACATAGCAATTTGAGGAAAAAGACTAATTTTCTTTTTTGCAAAATACACGATACTGCAACTTAAAAAAAACACCCTGTAACACTGAATATTTTCTGCTTGTCAATTTCTTTACATTGAGAATCAAAAGACAATGATATAGTGGCCACAAGGTATGTAATACAGCACACCATTTATAGAATAAAAAGGCTATTACACAGGGGGAGGGTTAAACAAAGCACATTAGTTGGCTCTCCAACCCTTAACAAAATTTCTACATTTGCATAATCCAGCTAATTTTATTTCATAACAACAGTTTATGATAGGGTAACTTACATTTCAGTTTCACAGAATATATTAACCATTTATTGAATAAATATTTACTAAGCACCTAATGAAGAGTCAGGCACTAGTCTAGGCACACAAGATAGGGCAATGAACATACAAAAATAACTGCCCTCATGGAACATGAAGACACCACAAAGTTGCATGACAAAAATAAAAAATAAATAAAAACAGGAATTATTTGGTTTTAAAAGGCCAACTGCCAAATATCTCTTCACTCCCCATATGTAATGTTCTATATAAGAACAGAGAATGGAAATCCAGCCCTGGAATCTTACCTTAAATCTAAGCAACCACTTAATGCATAAATGGAGCAAATAAAAGAGGTAAGGAAAAAAAGCATTGAAAGGTTAGTTGGAACTTCAGGATGTAAAGAGAAAGGGAAAAACAAAGAAAAAACAAGTTAAGCATTCAGCATTAAAAAATAATGTTTCAGTAGATCATAGAAAGAGTGGTTAAAGCAGAATGTGTCATGAACAAGAGTTTTTTGATGAAATTATATGACACTGTTTTATTCAAAACCTTAACTTTATTAAAGATTTCTTCAAATTAGTGACCCTAAAAACTAAAAGTCCAAACAATTGAAAGGGACTGCACACTCCTAAAACAATAACATTTTACTTAGAGAATTAAATGAGCATTGAAGCAGAGAATCACCATTTTATTATATAAGTGAGCAAGTACAAATAGTTTTATATTCAAATTGCCTTTTTGTCATTAGATTCTGGCAGTACCCTAAAATTTTCTATTAGCAGTTGCTAGTCTTGAATAAATCTCAAAAGGTTTTCCCAAGCTGAAATAAATTTCAGTTATTAATTATCTATCCAATTACACATCCTATATTAACATGTTCTAATTAATACAGTAATCCAAATATATGTAGGTGTCAATTATAAAATTAAATATCAAATTCCAAATAGTGCTTATTATCAAAATTCTGAGGAAGAAAAAGTTTTTAAATTTACATTGTACATTTTCATGCACATACTAGCCATACTAGCAGAGTATTTTTTAATTTAAATTTGCTTATAGTCATAAATCAACTGCATAAACTATACAGTTTCACTTATAAGCATATATATTTACTCAAGTCACATTTCATAAGTTATTGACTTTAAAATCATTGGTGAGATGCAAACTTTAAATAACTTAATACTTAGTTAAAATTCTGAATATTTTCTTAAGTACAAACACCAATTTAAAATAAAATTTATATACCTCCCAAGTTTTGATCATGGTACTTTATATACATAGCAGGCACTCAAATGAATTTTAGAAGATAGCCAAAAAATACAATGACCATATATGCAAAAGCAGTGGAAATATTAATTCACATATTACTTTTATCTAAATTATTCTCACCCAAAATGTTAAGATAAAATTATTTTAGAAAAATCCAAGTGCATTTTTGTTTATTTATGTTCTTTCTGAAAACTAAAGCCCAAAGTTTGCTAATAAATTTTTATGGTAAAAATTTTAAGATAAATACTTAATAACATAATGAATGATTTTAATCAGTCATATTAAATCATTAAAAGGTTAATAAGATTATACCACATTTATTTATCATATATATGAGGTATTATCATTAACTGATCAAGCAAATGCAATTCATTCAAAGATAATTATTTAAAACCTGAGAACATAGCACTAAGAAGCAGCAAGTAAGTTAAAATAGTTTAAAGCAGCAAGGACCCTTCAGAACCACACTGGGCTAAGACTTGGTTCTCTAGAAACGGAAAGATAAAAGCTTAATTTTCTAGAGTTAGTTCCATCATGGGCTATTGTTTTTAAAAGTTTGACAAAAATTATACTTACCTTTACTCCATGTCCAATATCATCTAGAATTGTATAGTCAATAGGTTTTCTAATATAACGAACTGGTCTTTCAAGATTGGCTGGAGCAATAATCTTATGTGTCCTTGAAGTGTTTTTATTGGTAGTCAAAATACCAATTTCTCTTCTTGCAACTTTCTCTTTATGAATATCAACGGTCTGCAAAATTTAAATACAAACAAAAAAATGTATAGCTCTAATATCCAGAAAAATCAAATATAAATGTTTAGAAATTTAACATCGTTATTCATATTTTTAACCACAACTGTTAAATTTGCTACTCTTTGCACCAATACTGACTTTCTCCAGTTTTAGGCTAAAGCAAGGTTTGGCAGACCATGACTGACAGACCAAATACCACCCACCATCTGTTTTCTACAACCCAAAAGCTAAGAATGGTGTTTACATTTTTAATGATTGAAAAAATAATGTTGTGATGTATGAAAATTATGTGAAATTCAAATTTCAGTTTTCATAAATAAAATTTTATTGGAACCCAGCCATTCTACTTGCTTAAGTATTTTCACACTACAATGGCAGAGATGACCAGTTATAACAGAGACCTTATGGCCTGCAAAGTGTAAAATATTAGCTGGGGCTTTACAGAAAAAGTTTGCCAACCCCTTTCCCTCCCTCCCTCCCTCCCTCCCTCCAAATAAATAAATAAATAAATATTTTCTTCATTAGTAAGTTAATATATCAACTAAGCCTTTAATTATTCAAATAACAAACATGGTTTAAATTATTCACCTTTCATAAAACAAATTAGTTACTAACAAACTGAACTGGGTAATTTCAGTTATTCATTTTTTATAAAATGATGTAAACTACACATATGAAATTAATTAGGAACTGTATAAATCCTACTTTCCATGCATACTGATAACCTTTGGGATTTCCTTAATTTGGGAATTTTTAAACAAGAGGGAGAGTTTTTTAAAGAAAATATTATCTTACATGGTGAGTTTCTTAGGGTTTAGATTTTCCACTCTCTGTTAGTACCTAACTTTGGAATTACCTCCAATCTGCTATTATTTTATACCATTATTTTTGATCTCCTTTACTTGCTTTCTACTAACTACTAGAACACCAAGCCCAGTAAGTTTTAGCTCTTGGGAAGATTGGAGAAACACTACCTTTTCATTTACATTGCCTTTTGATCTCTCGTGATTTTTTAAGACACGAGGAACTAAAGCAGACAGTACCAGCTGTTTTCAGTAGTTGAGAGAAGAGATAGGAATGGCTTAAAAAATTTTAGTTTATAAGAATTTTAGTTTGAATAATATTCTATAAACCTTTCTTATAAACTTACCAGAAATGGACACAGCAAACAGCATTCATTCTTACACATAATGCTACACTGACTTAAAAGTAGTTATATGTACTTGTACAAGTATCAATAAAATTAAATGTTTGTTCTGATAACTATATTTTCTTGAAAATATTTAATGTTAATTTAAATCCTAATCTCAGTTTGAAGATTAACATTTTTTAGCTTTTTTAAAATATGCTTCCAAAGATTTGAGAGAACAGCAAGGAAGATAAAGATGGAATTTCTTAAAAATTTATCATCCTTAAATTACCTAAGGTAAACCACATCAAGAACCTATCCTAATACAGGCATATCTCAGAAATATTACAGGTTCGGTTCCAGACCACCACAGAAAGCAAGTATTGCAATAAAATGAGTCACATGAATGTTTTGGTTTCCCAGTTCATATAAAAGTTATGTTTACACTTTACTGCTAAATGTGCAACAGCATTATGTCTACAAACAATTATATACCTTAGTTAAAAAATACTTTATTGCTGAAAAAAATACTAATCATCACCTAAACCTGTTGGGAAAATGGCACCGACAGATTTCCTTGACGTGGGATTCAAAAAAAAAAAAAAAGCAATGCCCTAACTGGTTTGCTCAGTGGATAGAGCGTCGGCCTGCGGACTGAAGGGTCCCAGATTCGATTCCGGTCAAGGGCATGTACCTTGGTTGCAGGCACATCCCCAGTAGGGGACGTGCAGGAGGCAGCCAATCGATGTTTCTCTCTCATGGATGTTTCTAACTCTCTATCCCTCTCCCTTCTTCTCTGTAAAATCAATAAAATATATTTTTAAAAAAGCAATAAAGTACAATAAAACAAGGTATGCCTGTACTTCCTTATGGATATGGAGAGTGTGGTATACATTAGTACACTATCTAATACTACATTGTCCTCTTAGTAAAAAATAAGGTGTCTAATACTAAATATTCATAATTCTGTCTTGCATTTAAAAATGTTTGACATTTAGAGAATGGGTTATTACTTTGTTGTTTTTTTAAAGTATTTCTCCCTGATACATAGTTGATAGAGTAAATGGAATTCTAATCCTTAGGTTCAAATTCAGAGTGATTTGGGGCACAGAGTGAGACCAATAGCAGAACCAACAGAATAAAAAGAGAGAAAAGCAAATACAAATCAAGTATCATTTTGGGGAATCTCAGGAGAATAAAGAATTCAAGATGAAAGATAGCTCAGAAATAATCTAATCAGTCCTATCATTTTACAAGTAAGAAAAGTAAAGTTCAAAGAAACCAAATGTCACACAAGTCAGCCAAAGAACCAAGATGAAACCTAGATCCCCTACCTTCCCCCGTCCCAATCCTACTCAGTGTTCATTTCCACTAAAATGGAGAAAAGAGCCTGAGCACTAGGAGACTGAAAAATGATAAGGTTCTTACCCAGGAGACAGAAAAAAGATATTGATGAGGAAAGAAATCAAATAGCTCAGATATATGATATCGGCTGGTCCTGAACCAATCTACCAGACAACCCTTATATAACTCTTGACACCTACTACCATTCCAGACATCATGTGATCTTTATCTTTGACCTGACTGCAGCTCCACTTCTTTGCCTCTTCAATCTTCCCTCCAAATTCTCCAAACCTAGTATTTTTGCCCAAATTGCAAAAAAAAAAAAAATCTGGTCTCAAGGTATCTTAAGAACATCTGGTTCCCTCTAAAAACATAATATTTTTAATAAAGCATAACAATAAATTTTAAATACCAAACATTTGGGGGGGGAGGGGAAGTATTTTAGAGTAAGGGCTTGCAACTACAGCCTAAATGCCAAATCTGGCCCAAGCCTGCTTTTATATGGCCCACAAGCTAAGAGTGGTTTTTACATTTTAAATAGTTGTTTAAAAACATACGCATACAAAGAACAATATGAGACTGAGACCATATGTGGCCCAAAAAGCCTAAAATATCTGGCTTTTTATAGAAAAAGTTTGCCAATCCTTGAATATTTACTGAGAATTTGCTTTGTAAACAGAAAACATTTTCTCTTAAACTATAGAATAATCTTTTAGTCTAAGGAGCATCAAATAGTTCTGATGTTCAATTAACTTTTAAAAGAAAAAACTCTAGCTCAGTTGGTTAGAGCACTGACCCCATAGACCAGCCGTGGGCAAAAACCAGCCGTGGGCAGGCCGGATCTGGCCCCGTACCCTTTTATGTAATGATGTTTACTTTGAATTTATATTAGTTCACACAAACACTCCATCCATGCTTTTGTTCCGGCCCTCCGGTCCAGTTTAAGAACCCATTGTGGCCCTCGAGTCAAAAAGTTTGCCCACCCCTGCCATAGACCAAGGTTGTGGGTTTGATTCCCCATTAGGGCGCATACAAGAAATCAACCAACGAATGCCTAAGTAAGTGGAACAGCTGAACAACAAATTGATAAGTCTGTCTCTCTCTCCCTCCCTTCCTCTCTAAAATCAATCAATCAATCAATAATAAACCAAAGAACTCTACCTATACATTAAACATAATTGAAAAAAAATTAATCCTTAAAAAATTGCTAAAAAATATAATTTTTAAAAGATTTACTCTTATTTCACAGATATAGCCTCCATCTGACCACTTTTCCTACTCAAACCTTCATCCAACATATTTTGTGTAAATTTAACAGCTGCTACACCTGCAGATCCCACACTCCTTCAGGTATTGCCCTCCACACACTCAAGTCCAAATGAGGACAGTTAACATAGGCTTGACAGCTCTGACTGAGGCCCCTATTATTTCTGACCCTATCATCTCTATCCATTCATCTCTCCTATGTTTTATTTATTTCATTAGAATAACTTTAAAAGATAGTATTAATTAGACCACATAAATTAAATATAAATTTATGTGATTCTCAAAAGTAAATGTTCTCATTGAATGACTTAATATACGTAATTACAACCTAGAGTCGACTTATTCACCTTCCTCTTTAAGGCTGCTACTCTTCTCTACCAAAGAACTACAGAATTCTAATCAGAAAACAGATTATTATAGTTCACTCTCATTTGCTTGTTGTCATCATCTACCTACCTACACAATCTCTCCTACTCCTACAAACTATAAAAAGTTGTATCTCGTTTTTAGAAACTCTAATATATTAATTTATCTTTTACATTTGCACTTTCTTCTTACTTTCTTTTTTGGGTCCTTTGTTAAGACTGCAAACTTGCCAAAACTTTAAGTCTCTCAAGTATAACTTACAAATTCTATATCAGATTATTAATCAACATCTCTCCTTCTATAGAAAATCATTTAATCATATACTTAATAATTTAAAATGCCACTGACTGCCCAGCCGGTGTGGCTCAGTGGTTGATCATCAACCCATGAACCAAGAGGTCACCAGTTTGATTCCCAGTCAGGGCACATGCCCGGATTGCAGACTCAATCCCCAGTGAGTGTGTGCTAGAGGCAACCAATCGATGTTTCTCTCTCATCAATGTTTCTATCTCTCTATCCTTCTCCCTTCCTCTCTCTCTAAAATCAATAAAAAAAAAATTTTTAAATGCCATTGACTATTTCCACGAGGTCTTTTCAGAATAAATGTTCTCTCTCATTCATTAAAATTCTTGTTGTTGCTGGATTTTTTGTTTGTTTTTAGTTTAAGAGACACAAAAGTACAACACACAATAAATCATTTAATGTCTACAGAAGTTTATATAGGATGTGAAGAAACACTTATAGTGGAAAATTCAGATTTAAGGTTAAATAATATTAAATAAGATATTCCTCTAATTTTCTTTCAAGTTCTATATAAAGACAATTTTATAAGGTCACTTAGATTACTCTTTCTGTTAAGGTATGGTACCATCCTGGTAAACAAAAATCCTACAAGCAGCTATCACATTTATATTTTTCAAAAGATAAAATGTGTGATTTGGTAAAAGATGGAAGAAACAGACAAATTTTCACTTGAAGGCTGATAATTTTAACATAACAACTGAGTTTTAATGAACCATTAAAATTTACTTCCCTAACAAAATCAGAGTAGAAAATTACTCCACAAAAAGATACAGTGTGGCTCAGTTGGTTGGAAAGTTGTCCCTTACACTGAAAGGTTGTGGGTTTGATTCCCAGTCAGGGTACATACCCAAATTGCAGGTTCAATCCACAGTAGGGGAACCTTGTGTGGGAGGCAACCCATCAATATTTCACTCTCACAACGATGTTTCTCTTTCTCTCTCCCTCTCCCTTTCTCTCTCTCTAAAATCAATAAAAGCATGTCCTCAGGTGAAGATTTAAAAAAAAAAAAAGAATAAAAAAATACTTATTTTGAATACTGAGTTTGTATTTTCCAAATCATACATGAGTTAACTCACATAATAAACACTGCCAACATCACAGATCACCTGTGTTTATTAAGTGTTCCTCATAACAATACAGAAAAACAGTATGGTCTCACTTGTGAAATATGATTGATTGACGATTCCATCCTTCGCAGCTGGGATGCCTGGATGTCCAGCATCTGCAGGACATTGTTGGCCAAGGTGTTTATCAGGTAGGCAACACTTGCTAAGGACTGGGTGGTGTAGGCTTTGGTTTCTTCTAGGGCTCGCTGCTTATCTGCTGACTAGGAAAGAGAAACAATCATTAATCAAAGATAACCTAGTCTATCAATCTAATCAACAATGACACGCATCAAAACAATTCTGTTGCTGAACCTACACATACTAGCTAATAATGTTCTGAAAACTAGTTATCATCTGATGTAAATCTTTTTAGTAGTTTAATGTATACTGGCTTCAGTTCTCAATAACATGGCACCTTTAAGATAGTCAAGCTGCTATGTCATCTACCTAGACAAGCTAGTATGGGCTAACTGGAAACAAGGGAGGCAATAAACTTGATATTCACCTCCACACCTAAAGTGTCAGAGGAAAATCAGAGGGGGAAAGGTTACTTTAGAAATAAGACAAGTGATCATACACGAATCTGTTTGAGATTCAGAAAAGAGTTATTTGCTGAGACTGTGGCTGACTATTTTGGGAAAACCTATATTGCTAAAGCCAAAGTGGAGTTTCTAGAAAATAATGAGAATAGAAAAGATAGAGCATCTGAGTTCTTATTCTAACTCTGCTATCTTATCTGGCTGTCAGTAAGTCAATTACAATCTAAAGGACTCAGCTACTACACTTTACAACGAAAATACCAGATTAGATGTCAGTTTCAGCTATAAAATACCATGATTCTTATTTGGAATATAATTTGAAAGTAGGCCATTTTAGACTGAACTGTGACAAATCATAAGTTTTATAATAGTACCTACTTTAGATTAGGAAAAAATGAATCCATTTGGTAAATCTGACATGAATCTTGCTTTTTAAAGGCAGACAAGCTCACCTTTACTCATTTGCCTTTTTTTAACTCCTCACCCGAGGATATCTTTTCCACTGATTTTTAGAGAGTGGATCAACTGTGGTACCTGCCCTTGACAGGTAATAGAACCTGCCCTTCAGTCAGGCAGGCTGCTGCTCTAACCACTGACCAAACTGGCTAGGGCCTCATTCACCTCTTAACAACATTCCAGATGACCCTGGCCAGGTGGTTCAATTGGTTGGAGCATCGTCCTATATACGAAAAGGTTACAGGTTCGTTCCCTGGTCAGGGTGCAATTAATATTTATCTCTCACATTGAGGTTTCTCCTTCTCTCTCTCAAATCAATAAAAACATATCCTTGGGCGAGAATTTTAAAAAGTATTCCAGATGCCTCCCCCTCCCTGCAAAAAACAGGCAGAATGTAAGCACAAAAACTCTTGCAATCTGGCTCAGTGGTTGAGCGTTGACCTATGAACCAGGAGCCAGGGTTGCGACCTCTATCCCCAGTGTGGGGCGTGCAGGAACTAATCAATGACTGTCATTATTGATGTTGCTCTCTCCCTCTCAATTCCTCTCTGAAATCAATAAAAATGTATTTTTAAAATACATATATATGTATTTTTAAAAACTCTTGCAATCTTTCTAGTGCTATCCTACTACCTGACAAATAAGATTAAAAATTTTCTAAATAACTGCATTTTAAAATATGTTCTAAGACATAGCAAATTAATCACATTTATGCTTAGGTTAATCACACACACACACACACACACACATACATGCCCCATTAAAATAACAATAAAGAGACATTTTAAATGGAAACAAAACCACGCAAATAGAGGTGCAATCCAAAAGGTCCAAATCTGACTAATCAAAATACAAGAAAGAGAAAACAGCAGAAACAAGTTAATTTTGCAGAGCTAACGAATATAAATATCCAATAAGTGTGCTCATTAAATGATTAGTACAGTCACTGACAGAAGACCCATAGCAAGGAACATCAGGAGGAATAAAAGCTTCAACAAGCTTCCAGACAGGAAGGGGGTATCCTATACAAAGAATCAGGAAGCAAAATGGCACTTGACCTCTTAAAAGCAATACGGAAGGCTAGTAGAAGATGAAGAAATCGGAAGAATACTTTCACAATATGAGAGAAAATTATTTCCAACCTATAATTTATATCTATCTAGTCAAAACTATTAATCTGGTAAAAGTTGAATAAGATTTTCAGCACATAAAATGTCAATTTTTTAAAACTTTCCAAGTTATTTTTCTTCAGGAAGCACCAGAGGATGTGAATCATCAAAACAAAAAGCTAAGGAAGAAGGAAGCATGGGAAACAGAAAACAGGATCTACATGAAAGAGGCAGGCCCATCAAAGGGAAGTCCAAGACTGACTGCAAAGGAAATTTCTGAGATGACAGCTGTGCTGTAGACTAAAATGTCAATAATGCAGACAATCCAGATTGGAGAAGATGGCAACATGTAAGATATACGTCTCCTGTAGGAAGAAATGAAACTGATACTGAGAGACAATTCTCCATGGGTATGTTGCCTTTCTTTCTTGACATTGTGTAAACAGAGGCACTGGTTGCTTGTTCCAGACTGTCAAGGATGTCTGTACAGAAACTAGTCTTAGAAGACGGAAAGAGCATCTCCCTCTGGAACAAAGGGCAGGCATGCTTATCAAAACAAAAGATTCAGGTTCCCTAAATTCAGGCTGCTTCTCAATAATACAAGCCAATACATGTGCAGCTACCACCTGGCACTCCTCATATCACACTGATAAAATGGATTATCACCCAATGAATAAAATGGGCTACAAGTTTAATAAGGAATAGAATATATGCATAGTATCAGTACCTTCCCAACAGGTACTTATTAATTACAACAAGGAATATTTCAAGAGTAATTTCACCAGTGAAAAAACTTGTCAGACACAATTGTAATCAAGTGATCAAAATGAGTATCATCAGTAATGGGACAAACTGACTCATCAGTAATGGAACAAATTGAAATCAGAACTTGATAGGAAGAAGGAAAATAACACAGCATCATTTCTGATATTCCTACCAAAAATACATTAACTTGAATCTAGTCATGCGGAAACATCAAACATTTAAGGACACTATTTAAAAAAAAAATACTGCCTGTAATCCTTAAAAGTATTACGATCATGAAAACCAAAGAAAAATGAGGAAATAAGGAACTATTCCAGACTGGAGGAGACCAAGAGTCATAACAACTAAATACAACGTATTTCTGAACTGGATTCTTTAATAAAGTACATTATTAGGAAAGTTAGTAAAACTTGAATAGGGATATGAGGATTTAATAGTAAAAATATATCAGTATTACTTCCTATGCTTGTTGGCTATTTTGTGATTAACTAGGAAAATATTGTTATTTCTAAGAAAAACACAAAGTGTTTAGCAGTGATGGGACATCAGCAAACTTATTTCCAAATGGTTCAGAAAACAAGAAGTTCTTCTAATTTTAAATAAAACTAAAAGAAATCCCTTACTTCATCTAGATGGGTGATATTAAATTGCTGTGAGTTTTAAAAATTGAGAAAGTCTCCAGTAACTTAAGATTTCATCATAATTAAATTTTGCTCATAAATCTACTAACACCCAACTTTTAATTATCCTGTCAAAACATAATTAAGCACGTAAAAAATATAATTCAGTCACTTCTTCATATAAAAGGTTTGCTTATAAATTATGCATTTTTAACCATTCTTCTCAAGCTAATTACCTCCTGAATGCTTCATACCAATTAAAATAATGATTGAGTTTTAAAGAACTTTTCATGTTTAATGTGGAGACTGTTACTCACCAGGAATGAATACACTTGAAAGTACTATACTGAACCTTAATTACATTTATTTTTACTTAAGATGCAAATGCTAAATCTTTTCTCTTTCAAATCATTTCTCTTCATCTTATATATGATCACATGGTTAATGACCAAATTTTAAATATCTAGAAAGCATCCAAGTTGCACATTCTGAAAACATTGTAAAAAAAAAAAATAACTCCTATATGTGAATGCTCTGACACAACTGTCTGGTTTTAGACAAAGTTTAAGAATAGACCTAGAGTACTTTTAAAGTATCACCACAATCCATATATAATTTCTATTCCCAGCTCTCTAAAACAGGAACTACTGTTTTTTGTCTGTTCTCTCAACTGACCAGAAAGCTAGCACATGGTGGAGGTCAACAAATGTCTGCTGAGTTGGCCTTCCACTTCCCACTGCACTTTTTCCTTGGAAAATAATCTCATTATGCCACTTAGGAGAAGTTATGGTTATCTGTATACTGATCCTCTTTCCATAGGCCTAGATGCATCTTGAGAACAGGAGTCAGAGTTTACTGACTTCTTTTTAATTCCCCAAGCCACCAAATCTCACACAAAAGAGTAAGTATTAGTTGAAACCAGTGCACCTTTGATCTATGAACAAAACTGGAATAAAATCAGAGTCAGCATATCATCCATCCCATTTTCAGATGAAAAGAGCAAAAAATAACAAATGAATTACTAGATGCAAAACTGCAGAACTTAAGTTCAGATCTCATGATATTTATACTAAAAAAAAAAAGCTTTCCACTTAACTAACTTCTATGGTTTGGCCATGAACCAACCCATCACTTTTTTGCATTCTATGTGATGACTCATTACTCTCTGAGACATGCAATGCCTCCAAGCAAATGAACAACAAAAGTACATGATGTATACCTTGGATTTAAAGAACAGAACTCCAGCCCTAACCGGTTTGGCTCAGTGGATAAAGCGTCAGCCTGCGGACTCAAGGGTCCCAGGTTTGATTCTGGTCAAGGGCCTGTACCTTGGTTGCGGGTACATCCCTAGTAGGGAGTGTGCAGGAGGCAGCTGATCAATGTTTCTCTCTCATTGATGTTTCTAACTCTCTATCCCTCTCCCTTCCTCTCTGTAAAAAAAGAACAGAACTCCATTTGATACTCAAGAGAAATAAAATATTACCTAAGTAAAAAAAAAAAAAAAAACTATGAAAAAATAATGCAAATTCAGGCTCAGTAAATAATAAATGAATGACTGAAAAAAAATTTTAATTCACTGTACGATATGAAGTGGGGTAGCAAAACCAAGGGCACTAAGTGGGTCAATTTTATAATCTAATACTGCAAGAGTAGAAGATGAAAATATAAAGGAGTGACACTTCATGCTACATGCCCTCCTAACTGCCAAAGGTTTTCTATTGTATACCTGCTC